TGCCAAGTCGCAGATGCAGCTCAGCCCTTGACACGGATGGGGCTCTCGGATGCAGTAGCATTAGGTTTTCATCAAATAAGCCGGCAAATGTGCTGCGAGCAACGAATCACCTGACCCGACAACACAGACGTTACAAGTCGCGGTGCTGAACTTCTGGGAGTTTGGAGATAGAAGACTGGATTTACGATTGAGCTTTTGTTCCGGTGAATAGAAATCATGTTGAAATATATAAATCCATAGTATTATTATTTTTACTGCCTCGTTGGCCGAGTGGTCGCAATTGCGACAGCCGGGTAAGGGGTCTCGGGTTCGATTCCCGGGTCGGGCAAAGTATTACTGGGTTTTTAAAAAAATTCTCAGTAGTAGCACGGAGTCTGGAACTGTGCCCGGTATATGGCAATAGGCTCACCCCCTATTACATGGGACTCATAACATAAATAGTGAAAAGTGGGTGTTACATTGTACAGTGGTATAATGTGCACCTCTGCCTACCCCTTCGAGGATAAAAGGCGTGATGTTATGTTATGTATGTATTATTATTTTTAATGTTTTTTAAGTTTAAATTGTGTTTACTGTATGTACTATATAACTGTGAAATAAATAAGGTGACAATTTGATTATATTTTTCGTTTATTTGAAACCACGATATAATTATTATTGATAGTAATTTATATTTAATTTAAAAACAAATGTAGTGAACACAATATACAGCAAATCACTACAAAAATGCAATATAAGTTAAAATAAAAGCCAGCCTGCTATTTATTGATTGATAAAAGAATTAAGAACCTTCAATTATTTCTAATCGTTTGGACAAGTTCTATGCCTCCTTCTTTTCAATTCAATTGGAATACTGCTGAAGATGCAGCATCCCAACATCGTCCCTGGCCGAGGACTAGCGTCGAGTTCCAGAAACGAGCAGCCGGTGACGATGGAGCCGGCCATGTTTTTGACGTTGCCCGCCCGCTGAGCTGTCACGTACGAGTTAGGTTCAAGGTTTTGGGTTCACCTTCTTGCATCAGCGCATCGGACAACGCTCAAGTAGTAAATAAATAATGTATTACTACTATACTATATACTCTATGAAATATTGCGAATTCGCCAATCTGACTATATAAATGTAGTTGCGGAGAACCTAACGGGTAACCGGGGCTCCGGCTCGACATGCAGGAGAAGAAATAGGAGTGTGACTGGAGACGTGCAGGAGGAGGGATGGTTTTTAGTCAGTGAGAGTCTGACACTCTCTCCCGCCTCACCCAGGCAGTAGCAGTAATTCGATGATTTTCCCCCCTTAAAAAAACTATATATATAAATGTAAATAATAATTTTTGAAGCGTAAATGGATTGTGTAGTTAAGTTTGTAAATTGTAATATGTCTTTCTTGCAATGTATGTGTTTGTAGTATTTAACTGTATTCGTTGTAAATTAACTCTGTTTAGGGTAAAACCGGGATAGATGCCCCACTTTTTGAAATATGCTTCTAATTTAAAAAATATTGGTTTTACATAAATAATACCTATGAATGTAACTAGTTTAATCCTTTATGTTTTACTGTGATTGATCTATTTGGACCTATAAACTACCCATTTTGCAGATTTTAGCTTTTTGTAGACCTCCATTTTTGGGGATAGATGCCTACCCCTATGGATAGATGCCCCACCTTGAAAATACTAACAAGGATAGATGCCTACGGTGCAGGATAGATGCCCTTCATACTATATAAGTATTTTATGTTAATATTATTTATCTATTTTTTGGCTTTATTTTATTTGAATTGAAAAATATTTTGCAGCTTTTAAAATCTTTTTATTGTCATTGTCATTATAGATAAGATAAATAAGATAAATTTTAATTAAAACTATAACAATTAAATTCTAAAAGTATTTGTTCAACAGTAATATGTATTTTAAATCCTTATTATTAAATATTAATACCTAATTAAGTTTCAACAAGCAAAATCATAAAAGTCATTCTTTCTTAAAAATTAAAATAACTAAATAAATATCATCATAATATTTAACCGGACAGTGTTTTAATTTTTCCAAATCTCGAGCAACTATTTCTGAAAAGTGTACAGGTTTCATATAACCAGTACTGACACATTACACATTGAATCCAGTCGGATTTAGACTTCGTTTGTTCATAGTTTTCAAAGCATTCTATGAAGTTAATTTATTTATATTTTAGGCCCATCCTGCCCATCAATTTTAGTGTTCTTTACCAGCAAACTTTTATCCCCATGATTTTTCTGTCCATTTTCTCCATAGCTGGCTGCAGTTGTACTGTAGTCCAAGAACATACTCGAGCTCACACTCCTTCCTTTATTTTGTATTTTTGTGGCATAGTTCTGCTATAATCAGTAAAAAGACCAAAAACTTAGTCAAAAGTAAATCAATATAAAGTATAAATACCTATACATAAACACATGAAAAATATATTAAAAATATACAAGGTGTTGTTTTAAAGCCGCGTCATTTTCTAGGAGGTAACTCGGCTATCGATTCTGAGTCTGAATCAATAAAAAAATTTGTTGGTAAATATTTTTCATTTTTCTGTAATTTACGGAAATCCGTAATTATATATAGCGCGTAATTATAATAGCTTTATAACGCGGCTTAACACACACAAACTCAAACATGTAATTGATATTATTCCTAATTCCATAAAACTCGAATAAGAAGAATTGCTGCCACTTTTTCTGAAATATTGTCCAACTTAAACGATTTATTATAGCCGTATTTTTAACTATTGACCTGAAATTTTCTCTTACATTGAACCTATATGACTTCTGTGACATGCCCCCGAGAAATGACACGACTTCAAAACTACACCTTGTATATTCAAAGCACTTATAATACAATCAGGATATACATGGTGTATGGAGGGATAGACGCCCCTAGGGGCATCTATCCCGTTAAAAATCAGGGCAACTATCCTTTTTGACAGGGATAGCTGCCCAAGTATTTTTTAAATAAATAAAAAAGAAAAAAGCGATTATTTACATCAAAATGTATACTTCATGAAACAATATATTGACGTAATAAAAAATATGGCGGAATTAATATCTACTTAAAAAGTTATACAACAGCAAATACTCACCTTTAAAATTTTTACGCATTTGGTAATTTCGCCGCGGAGATGAATTCATATACGAACGAAACGCATCCTCACCGCTTGACGGTGTGTGGCTAACTTAGGTGCGGGGTGCTTGCGGTTTTTAGTTATACGGTTGTTTCTTAATCGCGAGCTTAGGAAGTTAGGTTTTTAAGAAATGGGGCATCTATCCTACTGAGGCATCCATCCCGGTTTTACCCTATAGTAAAAAAAATAAAAATTAAGTATTTCAAACACGTGTCAGATTTTTTTTGATTAAATTAAAGTATGGTGTGTAGCTTGTGATGCACTCGGATTAACTCTGTTTAGTTAAGCACCTAGTGGTAAACGATATTCTTTGTTATTTTGTCAGGCGCAAGAACAAATACCTAAAGCTAATAGTTTACCGACACGTGAACATGCCACGTACAATTGACCATGAGAAAACATGCATTTTCTTAATTGAGGCCACAAATAGTCAATGCTTGGCCCTGTAACTTGTTAATCGTCATGGCAAAGGCAAGACGAATCATGAATTGAATTCGTTTAAATTCAAAGGGCATAGCCGTTGGAACCATCGAAATATTTGGAATAAGAACTTCCTTATCTTTTAAAACAAAGAAATTTATTCTTTGCAAACAAATTTAAAAAGTACCTGAACTTTTGAGACATAGACAATAATTTAGGTCATAGACTTCTACTTTGACTAGTTTATTACATTTCTGGTCAGGCTGTATATTAGTTTAGATCATAGACTATTACTTTGGATAGTGCAATTTTTAAACTTTAATTGTTTGTGCAATTAATTAATCTATAAAATATTATAATAATTAATTAATTAAAATATTATACAATTTTCAAACTATAAAATATTAATTGATCCTCCTGAAGGAGGAAGGAAGGAACATTGGATGAATCCAATGTTCTGATAAACAAATTATGTCAAACTTAGATTTTTCTAAAAACATTTCTATTTCAAACAAATTCCTGAATGTTAACATGAAATAATTTTACATTGTGCTGCCCCTGACTCTGTGTATGTTTATTAAGAGTGGGTTTTTTCTTGCCCGAACATACCGCCCTGTCAACATTATTTATGAGGATAGACTCTGTTGTCTTATGATCTAGTTTAAATTGCTATTATTGGTTAAACTTACATTATTATTAAAGTTAAAATATAGCAGTGTTAATTTGAAATGCTATCAGCATAGCAATAGTTTGTCTGTATTTTTTTGAAAGAACCAACCAAGGTAGATTAGTCCAACTATTTTTAACTAGCTTTTACCCGCGGCTTCGCACGCATCACAAAAAGATAAAAAGCCTATGTGACATATGCTAATACACACAGCGCCATCTATACCAATAATTTCGTTTTCCCTCGACAATACCAAATTTTCCGAGATAAAAAGTACCCTATTATTTAATGCAGGCTTCTAACTTTACATCTGCAAAATTTCAAAGCAATCGGTCTGGTAGTTACGGCGTGAAGGCGGAACAAACAAACAAACAAACTCACTTTCCGATTTATAATAAAAGTAAGGATAAGGATAAGGATTATTGATGCATAAAAGTTTCTGGAAAATTAAATTGTGTTTACCTTACTTATTTAGAAAAACATTATTATTATTAGTTTTCACAATGAGGAACAAACAAACAAAAAGTAATTAATATAGCAAATTTTATTTTTTATAAACACATTTTTTACATTTACAAAGATTTAACACACATGGTACACTAAAGAGATACATACATTTACATATTTACAAACAACAACATTAAAACTCAAATCTCAGATTTTTCTTATTTGAATATAAATGCAACTAAGAATACAAGAACTCTGCTTAAAAATAAACTATCACTATAATCAAAATTAGCACTATTTACACTGACGAAGTTGTAATATTATACTATGAAACTTCAATAATAAGTTCGTCATTTTCCAGTGCACTAAACCGAGTATAATAGTAAGAGCCGCGATCTACTCCCATTTCCGTACCGGAGTACTGACCGCTGTCCGCAGACTCCGTCGACATCGGGAAGCAGTCCGGCTCGATTGCCACCGGCTGCACCTTGAAGAATGCGTGCTCTAACGCAGCGGCTGCTGTTACTCGTCTTGTAGGACAGTAAGTTAGTAATCCTTCCAGTAAGGATAAACCGCTATCAGAAAGAAGCTCGCGGTTTATCTTTTTGCGCAACCCGCCCGGTGGATAGTCCTCAAAAATTGTGTTTCTTACCGTTGGTAACGAGCTGTAGCCGGGCCAAATTGCGTCAGACGGCGTACCCAAATCCATAAAAATTTTCTTCAACTGATCTAACTCAGATTTGCCACGAAACAGAGCCTTCAAGTTAATTAATTCAGCAAATATACACCCAACGCTCCACATGTCTATAGGAGTTGAGTATTCTGGGCTAAGTAACAGTAGTTCAGGCGCATTGTACCACAGTGTGCCCACGCCCGGTGTATATTGTTGAAGAGAGGATTCATATCCTCGAGCCAATCCAAAATCTGCCACCTTTAGAACACCATCTTGAGACAAAAGTATGTTGTCGGTCTTGAGATCTCTATGTATAATGTCATTGTCATGAAGATGTTGTACTCCTTGGAGAAGCTGTATCATTAGGCTTTTGACGTGTACTGGGAAGAATGTTATATCATTTTGCCGCATCGAGCGCAAAAAGCTTTTCAACTGCTGCGGCACGTATTCCAAGACCAGGAACACTTCTGTTTTCCTAGAGCCCACCACTATCTCCCGCCCTGCGACAATGTTAGGATGTCGTAATTTGAGCAGGGTGTTCAGCTCCCTCTGAGCAGCCATGGACAATTCTTTCCTTTCGTTCAGACCTTTAAATCGTTTTAGAGCAACTATATCATCTGTTGACTTATCGCGAGCCCTATAAACAACGCCGAATGCTCCTTCGTCAATTTTATTCAGGTATTCGAACTCGTCAATGAGCCGACTGTTTTGTAATGCTGGATGGATGGAAGGTTCAGCATCGGTAGTTTGTCTTTGGTCTTCTTTAATCTTCTTCCATTTCTTGTCGTTGTAGCTCTTTTTTTCTCTTCGTATATAGTTTTTGTACCTAGCAATTGCTGCTTGTTTCAAACCACTTGTCCCTTGATGAGTTTCCTGTAGCGGAGCTTTCGGTGATGTGCGTAGCGAAGAATCAGCATTGTCGATTACATTTATAGAAGTCATTGTCAGTATGAAAAAATTACGATCACTTCACTTCACTTCAAAATATGTACTCAACGTTTGCAGTCTAAACTGTAAATGCGCAAGTTCTTTAAGGTCGCTCCCTTATATAGGCCCTAAAAAATACCACGCATCCTGAGAGATAACGAAACACTGAATGGGATGATTCATTGTAACACAATAGGGTACAAGACAATTAGTTAAAATAGATACCTTTTTGCAATGCTTAAAACTGTAATTATTATTTGTTTTCATTTTGACGGGTTAACAATTTTTATACTATAATCATATTTTTTTGCTACAAATTAATGTTATTTCCTTCTTTCTCTTCACTCGCATCATATAAATTGTTTTGTTAATATAGATAGCGTTGATATACGAAAAGTTGTGTACAGACTCGTACTAACTTATTAAAAAATTAAAGTAAATAAATAAATTGAGTTAATCAAGAATCAATTGTGTACCGAAACTGCTGACTTCATCGTTCACATAAATTATTAATTGAATTTATTGAATATAAATTCGCGGCAGATCGCGGCTCTTACTATAGTACTCTCTCAAGTTCACTAGATACTGATGTATTGTTGACGATTAGTAATATAATATTATACAACTTTATCACTGTAAAAAGTGTTCAGTTTTATTTTATATTAGTGATAGTTTATTTTTAAGCAGCGTTCATGTATTATTAATTGAATTTATATTCAAATAAGAATAACTTGAGTTTTAGTTGTAATGCTGTTGTTTGTGAATATGTATATGTATGTATCTCTTCATTGTAGCAAGTGTATTAAATCTTAGCTAATGTAAAATTTGTATAAAAATAAAATTAGTTATAGTAATTACATTTTGGTTAATTGTTCCTCGCTGTAAAAGCTACTAATAGTAAACGTTTTTGTAAGTTATAAATTCTTTTAAAACCAACTAAAATATATCCTTTTTTTTTGTAGAACACAATTTATTTTTTTCCATAACAATTTATTCAGCAACAATGAAAAATAATTTGACGTACCTATTTGTTTACTTTTACTAATCAATTTAGTAAAAAGATCGCGTATAATGGAATGAAAATTTCGACTACTGGGTGGCTACTCGTAGTAAACAATACACCATTACTATTAACAAATAACTTTAAATAAACTACTTACAATCAATTATAATTGTTGAAAGAAAGTTGAGCATTTTAGATAAAGAAGTTTTCAAAGCAGGTAAAAACAGTAATCCAGACAAAGCCTTGGTACCGTATAAATATACCACGTGCATGGGAACCTTGAAACACAATAATAATTCATCTTCATTATTGTCTATATAGCAGTCAGGTAAAAGTGTTACTAAGTTCTCAGAACTCCTCCTTTCAAGTCAACAAGTTTGAAGCTGACTTCAAAAGAAGGTGGTATAACACGAAGTCGAGATATTTTATGGAACCACTGAATCCAATCATGCACTTTGGAAAGGACAAGGTTTGCTTTTAGATATGAGAAGCCGGCACAAGACATGTGCTAAAAATATTTGTGTCCAAAAGTACCTATTCATTACGGCCTACCGTCTATAACGCATTCAACTAGGATGTCATAATATTAGATTGCTGGGCCGTGCTTAAATGATTTGAGAAATTGTTTTGGGCTGAAATTCCAAAACATCTTGTCCTTAACTTAGGTCATTGGGTCTTACGAGGATATTAATGAATACTTACTTGACAGGAATTTTGCATAGTCAAAGTCAAAGTCAAAATTACTTTTTGCTAACTTAGTTTCAACCTCTATATGTATGTATGTCAGACTGGTGTTTATCATCATCATACAAATACGACATTAACACGCCAGATTATTTTTTTACACAAGGTTGAGAACAGATAAGTACATCTACACTAATATTATGAAGAGGAAAGATTTTTACCTATTTTGTATATTTGTATGTTTGTAATGAATAGGCTCAAAAAGAACTAGGCCGATTGAAAAAATTCTTTCACCAATAGAATGCTACATTCTTCCAATTTGACAAAGGCTACATTTCGTTTTGAAAAAAAATAGGGTTCCTTGGAAAAATTTGAACAATGTAAGCGAATGTGTAGAAAAATGAGTCTTATAATGTCTTTCGTCGAATGCGTTGCCAAAACTATTAGCGATAGAACAAAATAATGTATGTAGGTACAACAATATTGAAGAACATCATAATGTCTACAAAAAAATCTGAACTGAACCTCTCAAATTATGGGACACTTTCAAAGACCGTGTGAGGACATCAGACTTGCAGCTCAACAACATACATAAATGACTTACCCCATTTATTTAAAAATGAGCCACATATGGTTTTATTTGCTGATGACACTTCATTGGTTTTTAAAATTAATAGACGTACAAATGGTTATGACGAAGTAAATAATGCCCTAATGAAAGTTCAAAATTGGTTTACATTAAATAACTTAGTACTCAACAATAAAAAGACAAAATGTATTAGATTTGTTTTGCCAAATGTTAAAAGCAACGAATGTGACATAATATTGAATGGTGAGAAATTAGAGTTTGTAAAAGAGACAACTTTCCTGGGAATTACTGTAGACGACAAATTACAATGGAGTCCTCACATTATATCATTAGCGGGACGATTGAGCTCTGCAGCTTATGCTGTCTGGAAGATCCGACAGTTGACCGACATAGGCACGGCAAGACTAGTGTACTTCAGTTACTTTCATAGCATTATGTCGTATGGCATTCTGCTGTGGGGACACGCTGCTGACATTGAGTCTATCTTTATCTTACAAAAGCGCGCCGTCAGAGCTATCTACAACCTAGGTCGTCGCGAATCTCTCAGAGAGAGGTTTAAAGAGATCAACATTATGACCGTTCTATGTCAATTTATCTATGAAAACATCATGTATGTTAGGAAAAATCTACAGTTATTTGGTAAAGTGTCGGACAGACACCACTATCAAACTAGACATAAGGATAGATTAAGTCAGCCAATTTTGAGATTGGCGAAAGTGGGTAAATCGTTCATGGGATTCTGTGTTAAATGTTATAACAAGATACCAAGCGATATACAGCACCTAAATGAAATGAAGTTTAAATTATGTATAAAAAAACTTTATGTAGACAAGCACATTACAAAATTAATGATTATATAGAAGATAAAAATGCTTGGATGCACGCTGGTCCAGCTCCACGGGATAACGAAAAACATTGATGTGTCAATGAAATTCAACCTAAATATTACAACGTAGTTGCTTAAATGTATATGGTTTAACTTGCATAATCATTGTTAATGTGAGAGCCCTGTAATTAACTAAATATTAAATTGGACTAGTAGAATGCATTTATGTCAGCTTGGAGTTGTCATGTTCACTCAAAGATCGAATTGGCGGTGGCACGTGCATTGGGTCGCTAGATTCCCTGCAATATGATTGAGTTGGGCGGTGCTGGTGTACGTGTCATGTTCGTGAACGGGCGCCGTCAACTGTGACTGGTCAGCTCCAGACTGTATTATTTATTGTCTTTAAGGGTTATTTTCTTTTTCGATCTCTTTGGCTAGATTTGGTGTTACATTGTTCTCGCACAATCAAACCAATAAAACTGTGTAACTGAAGAATTGTATTGTGTATTGTGATAAAAGAGTAACCTATGGAGTTTCTTGCTCGTTCTTCTCCATAGGAATCTACACCTTGGAATGAGCAAATAGCTTCATTTTTAAATTTCTATTGCTGACGTTCAAAAGTGCCTTCCTGGTCTAATTGAAATAAATGATTTTTGACTTTTGACAACAAGATCAGGGTTGTGACATACACAACGAAGGCTTGATACAAATAGAAAACAAGCTTTTGGAACTGAACGACAAGCATTTAGCAGATTTTGGATTGCCTTCCCCTACCGTGCCGTCCGCATGATATTAACGAGTTGTCTGTATTTGTTAACACGCATGTACCCAAGTTAGTGGCAGATCAAAAAATAGCATTCGATGCTGTAGTACAGAGTGTTGAAATTCACAGCGGTAAACTGTTTTCTTTGGACGTGCCCGGTGGAATAGGCAAAACCTTCCTTGCCAGTTTAGTGTAGGCAAAAGTACGTCAATGTGGAAAAAAGCTGTTGCAGTGGCATCGTCCGGAATTGCTGCAACCCTATTAAATGATGGAAAGACTGCTCATTCTACATTTAAATTACCATTGGCTGTGTCTTTGGAACAACAATCTGTGTGCTCGATCCGCGAAAACGGTCCGCTGGGGCAGCTCTTACAAGACACTTCGCTGGTCATCTGGGACGAGTGCACCATGAGCCACAGGGTGCATGTGGAAGCCGTGGACCGCACGCTGAGAGACATCCGAAGCTCAAACCGTATAATGGGCCATGAAGTTTATTTTAGCTGAAGACTTTCGTCAAACATTACCAGTTATAACAAAAGGTACTCGAGCTGACGTAATTGGAGCATGCCTTAAATCATCAACTTTATGGCAATCGATTGAAACTCTTAATCTGCATTACACAGGGATCTCAAAACCGATAACATACTGATATCTTACGATGGTGTTCTGAAGGTGGCAGATTTTGGATTGGATTAGTTATAATGCTGTTGTTTGTGAATATGTATATGTATGTATCTCTTCATTACCACTACTACCGCAATACTTTTTTTTTCAGTACAGTTACTTAACTCGTCGAGTACCGGTTTTATAGACACAATTAAAGAACAATAGGTTGGGGTCACCGGTGACCGCTTGGTGTTTGACAGTTTAAACTAACGCGAAAAAGTAATTGACCGTAATAAAGCAGTTGGCTCAGAATTTATGATTTCATAATACTGAAGCACAATTCAGAATAATGTAAGCAAAAATACAGACAAAAAACAAAGAATAGTAGCAACAAGAATCGAAAGACTGGCTCGGGGTGTACTTTTTCGTAGATAACACATTTAAGTCTTTGTAATATAAAAACTATCGGACTTGGATTTTTTAAAATATTTTTCTGATAACTGTTGGAACCTTGCCAATTACGGTGACATTTGATCGACGATTT